ATATATATATATATATTTAACAAATTTCTCACCATATTTTATTTTGGCGAGAAAGTATTTAGTCAGAGTTTTATGTAAGTGTATTCTAAACCGAACAATCAAGATGTGATTGAAGTGCAGACTTTCACTCAGACATTTAATTCAGGGTGTTTAGCAAAAGTGCTGCATCAAGTGTTTAGGAATTACATCGTGTTTCATACATTATCCCCAATATTTCAAGGCTCAAATCCAATTGGGCATTTGACAGGCAGGCGGTTTCATGGCCAGGTGAGGCCTGCTCCGTTATGATCCCATGACAAACAAAGACAGGGTATCTGGAGCTGATACCAAGTGACGGTGGCACAGCGGTGCAGTGGTTAGTACTGGTACCTCAAAGCAAGAGGCTTCTGGGTTCAAATCCTCTGACTGGCTGGGGCCTTTTTTTGTAGTTTGTATGATCTCCGTATGCTTGTGTGGTTTTTCTCCAAGTACTCCAGCTTCCTCCCACAGTTCACATGCATGCCAGGTTAATCGGTGATTCCAAACTGTCTGTAGGCATAAATGGCTGTCTTTCTCTCTGTACGAGCTCTATAACAGACTTGCAGCCTGTCCAGCATGTACTTCCCATCTCACCCTGTGACAGCTGGGATAGACTCCAGCCCTGCCATGATTCTGAGTTGGATAAGTGGAAGAAGATGGATGGTTGAAGAATCCAAGTGTTGAACTTACATTTGGTATTTTTTTTTACTGGAACTCTCAATATTAGGCTCAAAGTGATATAATTCAGGCCATCATTAGACCGAAAACCCAAAATCAACCTGTCAAAGAGAAAAAAAGACTTTGGGAATAGCCAAATATGAAATCTGGTCCATTTTTTAAAAGAAGGAATGCACTGGACACCAAACGGTCTGAGAGACCGCAGACGACAACTAAAGTGGATGATTGCAGAATTCTTTTTTTGGCTCGGGAAAACCATCACAGCAATTCAAGAAAACTCTGGAGGAGGCGGATGCATCATTGTCAAAGCCTTCAAACAAGAGACACCTGACACATGAATCATGCGGCGAGGTTACACTCAACACAAACTCAAGAACGGGAAGGCCAGATCAGACTTTGGGTTTTCAGCCAGAAAATGTCTAAGTGAGCTGGCAACACATGGGAAAAATAAAAGAAAATTGATAGTTGAAACCAAGCTTAATTTGTACCAGAATGATGTGAAGAGAAAAGTCTGGAGAAGGAGAGAAACAGTTCATGATGTGAAGCATATGGATAGAGAAACACCGCCGTAGCCAGTGGATATGGATCGCTGGTGTTTATTGATGATGTGACTGCTGATGGAAGAAACAGGATAAATGAATGATGAATAGTGCAGGGCTACACTCTCTGCTCAGATATTCTTCAGTGGCCAAATCAGGCAACTTACCTCAATGCTTCAATGTTTGCTTTTCAGTTCTTAAATACAAACTGAATGCACAGAGACCAACAAACAAGCAGCAACTGCAGTAAAGGCCCGCCAGAGCATTTTGGGAGGAGGAAACACGACATTTGATGATGTCCATGGGTTTGTAGACCTCAGGCAGTATGAAGGATGAATATCCAAGTATTAAAAACTATCTTTATATTTGAAATCATATTCGTTTTGTCCAATTAATTCGGAACTTCTGAAAATGAAAACCTGTAGTATAAAAATAGCTGTAACTCCTATACAGTGAATGCTTTCGTTAAACCCCTTAAAAACCTAAAGTCTGCACTTCAATCGTTTGGTTTAAAATCCACTGTCGTGGTGCACAGAAGCAAAAACTAGAATTGCGGACAATTAATTTGTCACTGTCCAAAAACTTATGGAACTAACTGTCTGATCTAATTTGAAGGCAGACACTTATCAACAGCCTTGATAAGGTTTTTAGTTTGTCTAACCCAGTCAAAGACCACATCGAGCACATTTAAAAAGGCACCCGAGTGCAGTTTCTCACCACATCCAGAGCGATGCTGAGCGTGGTGACACCGGCCTCTGACAGCAGTCTGAGCTGAGGGTTCTCCAGCAGAGCAGGATGGACCTCCACCAGCTTGTCATTCCACTGCAGAACAGCCTCCCTCCACATCGCCTCCAGCCTCTGGCCCTTCACATCCTGGTACACACCTGCCAGAGTGGCAAGCGGCCCTGAGGCAGAACGAGGGATGGAGGTACACGTTTTCAGTTTCACATGAGCATACATATTTCAGAACCTCTCACAGGAAACTGTGAGGGACTACAAAAAGAGATGTGAACATCGATGATGACGCAAGAAGAGAAATTTTCTAAATAATGCCTTGAGAGACAGAAGAGATGCTTTTCATGCTTCTGGTAAATAAGTTAAGGGAGAGAAGATTAGTTTATGTTTGGAGTTCCTTAAGGAAATTCAATTGGTGACGGCACAGCAATCGCTCAAAAACTAAAGGCCATCTCTTTATTCACCAGAACTAAATTAATCATGAACACACAACTGGAATGCATCATTCCTGAAGCTCTGGTTAGCTTTCTGTCTTTCCGCACTCACTCCTAAGTTCCTGCTGACCCAGCAGCGAGGCGTGCTGCAGCAGACTCAGAAAGCGTGGCAGGCTGTCGGTCAAGAAGTGACGCAGCGGGCTCCTCTGCCACAGAGCCAGCACGCCTTTTTCTTTCTTCCCCAGCAGAGCCTCTGCTTGCTGTGAAACATGGAGAGGCAGAGCGCTCAACTCCTGCAGCAGCTGACTGTCTCTGGACTGGAGTGGTGGGGGATTAACAGAAACAGCACAGCAGTTAAATCCAAGAAAGCTCCTGTTATTACATTAAGAATTCCAGTGTGTGTGTGTGTGGTTACCTGTCTTCTAAAGTCTACGAGGAGACGCTGCAAAGCCCTGATTCTCTCCGTAAGTTTAATCTGTATCTGAGAGCTCAAATAGTCCGCCCGTTGCTGTGAACCGAATGAAAACAACGCATTTTAAAAAAGGCCATTCACATGAAAGCAAACACTGGGATGTGTTCATGCCATTAGCGACACCTCTGCTGCAGTCAGACTCTCCAAACAGCCACTTGCTCTCAGCATTAGCGTCTGATTGGCTGTTCCCAGAAACACTCTGCCCAGAGTTTCAGATGTGCCACTGCCGCTTCTTTTCTGCACATGAAGCGTCAAACTGTGGTTTACACCCACACATACCGCTACAGTGAGATCCTCACTGAGGCCTAGACCTGCACAGCCAGAGACAATTTCATTTTATTTGATTTCATTTTGATATATTTTGGCATTAATGCATGGCTAAGGTTCTTCTGCATTTACCATTCATATGACCGGCTGTAGTCTGCAGGCATCGTCCCTCGACTGTACCGTTCAGCCAGATCTTCTCTCTGCCGTCCAGTCTGGCCTGTACCTGGAGACCTGACCCCTTGATTTGAGACAGGGCACTTCCCCTCACTTCCACACTACAATTACCCATCCTAGACTGTAAAGCGTGAAACAAATGTAGGCATGTTTAGAATTAGTAGGACCCCGACTTACAAAAACAAGGCTAGTCGAATATCTCACCATGTTTCGATTATTTCTTGGAATCCCTGTTAGGAACCAGCAGTGACTGCAGGAAGTGATTCCAAACTCCACAGAAGAAACACGTTTCTTTTTTTGTACAAATTTAGCAGTCGTAATACAAAATGTTGCTTAGTGAAATCGGTATGCGTGTGTGTAGCTACTTGCCCTTTCTTGCCTTCTCAAAGAAATATGCACAAAAGCCCATTTCTCACAATATTAAATATCAAGAGTGGGCTGTAAAGCTCCTGCAGGTGAATCGTGTCATGTATTCAGCAACAATTTTACAAAAGTATTTTTAATTTCCAACTTTGTTGAAATTAACAATACTTGAACTATTTTAAATTTCCCACCAAGTCCTTGTAGTTGTTTACCTCAGAGAACAGAGACATGTTGGTCCCGTGAAGAGTGGAGGAGTTGGTAAGGGCGAGGGTGAAGCTGCAGTGGTACGGTCGCCCTGTCACTGCCAGCTGGGACTGAGTGTAAAGCAGCTCCTCGCCTGAGTTCACTCTGTGGGATCCTGACCACGACAGAGTCTGAGAGGCAAAGAGATAATTAACAAGAGCTCAAGAAAGGAGATGAGGAAAGTGAAAAACTCTGCAGGTCATTCAAGGGAAACAAAGAATATATATAGTGCTCAACACAAAACTGTTTGACCCGACGAGACCAAAGACGGCCAGTTTAACACAAGAAGTGATGAGGTGCGGCAGTATCGCCGCATCAAGTCTTATTCTTAACAATTTATAATGTCTCCAAATATGAAGAGGAAAGAAAGAAAGCAGTGAGAACTGATGTGTGGACTCACAGGCTGTAGAGGACAGAGGCCCAGCAGCACAATGTGCTCTAACCGGTCCTTGAGGTTGGTTTGAACTTTGGCCAGTAGTGTGTGTGAGGGACAGGGAGCTGGAGAGACTCTGTCCAGGCCAACGTTAACCTGAAGGCTGTGCATTCCCCGGTGAGCTTTCTGGAAACATCAAGAAAACATAAACAGATGATCTTATTGATCTTTTATCATATAAGGTCAACGTCTTTCAGCGCATAAAACTGACTACCTGGTACTTTATGCCTTGCTTCAGGCTCCTGCTGTCCCATCTTAATTCTGCATTTTGGAAAAATGAGTTCCCCTCATGTGCCATTGAGACACATCCTTTTACAGATGACACGGCCATCTGTGCACGTACACACACACACACACACACACACACACACACACACACACACACACACACACACACACACACACACAAACATTATACCCCTA